CGGGTGAGTTACATTGACCGTTCTTCTTCGTCGATCGCACGCGAATAACCGAGCCTATATATATGCAGCCTCTCATCGGGTATCACAAAGGAAGCAGAGCGTGCATACAGGTATACGTGAGTATTATATATGTGGCCGGTTTGCGCACAAGAGACATGCATCACGTTGTAATGGAAGGGGCAGAAAAGACTGCAGAGAGAGGAAACCGAGACATATTGTGCGTATATATATATATATACACCTACGACGGGGACTGTTGGGTCTCCCTCGTATATAACCGCACACGAAATAACCCCGAGGGACGCGAGGGACCCTTTCCCTGAAAGTCTCCTTGCCTTCCGATGCAGAAACGATATACGCACCAGGCCTGTATATATATATATTGACGCACGTATCGGTATCATCGCACCTAATGCCCGAGTGGTTTTTTTTTTTTTTTGAAAATCCGATAATCTGCCGGGAGACTCTCCAAGAGCGGGGAGGGGAGGGGGGAGACAGAGGAATTCGTGACGGCGATCGTTAACGCGAGACGATGATGGGTCCCCCTGTGCGCTCCGGCCAAGGGATAAAAGACAAAAGGCTGGGCCCCAAGGGCTTCCAAAACGACTGCGGTTTTTGAGCGCAAGAGCATTTTTGGGCCCTGCGATACGGGGGGTAGGTAGCCCGTCGGGGTGACTCACGAGCGCGTCACGCCAAAAAAATTCTTTCGGCGATCGGTAAGTTCCTCGGGGGGGAGCGCGCAACCGGTGCCCCCTCGATTCCAGTAGTGCGCTTGTATCCGCGTGCAGTTAGCCGCTCTCTCTCTCTCTCTCTCTCTCTCTCTCTCTCTCTCGACGTAATCAAAACACAGCGGCCAGCGAGCGTACGATACACCCACGCACCAGTCTATATATATATATATATAATGCACTTATGCAGTGGAAATTGCGCGCGCTCCGAGAGAGCGGCTCCCTACGCTTTTGAAAAGTAGGAGGGCCGACGGTGGCGCCGAGGCGCGGGTGGTGGACGCGCCAGGAGACTCCCGTGTGCACACGCAAGGCGGGCAAACGCCCCATGGGCATCACTCTGTCAGAGGAGCGCGCCCGGTACGGACGTGCTCATGGTACGCCTTGGCCTCTTTTTTTTTTTTTTACAACAATATTATACACTAAAGCGGCTTTCTCCCCGCTCATAGTTGCATTTCTATACCTGCATCGACGTCTCTTTGGCGCGGTCGAGTGTTGCTTCGTTTGTTTATTTTCAGTGTAGTGGCGACTCTTTTGCAAATCGTCGTGTACCTACTACGCTTTTTGAGCCTTTTCTTTTTATTGTTTTTTTCTTTTTTGTTTAGTTGAGGCTTTTTTCCGTTTTCGAGTGCGCGCGAGTGTTTTTGCCATTCGCAGGGTTTATATACGTAGTTGCTGTTGTCTTTCTGTTTTATTTTCATTGGAAAACACAAGTGGTTTGTTTTGGTACGCCCGCTTCGGAAGTTACAGTGTTTGACTTTCCAGTGACCGGTTGAGGCAGACAGTATAAATACACACATAACACACGATGGGCCATACCGATGACGGAGATCGGTAATCGATCGGAGGACAACCGTGTACGTGCATCGTTTTCCACGCTGTGAAAACACACAACAATTTTTCACGAACGATCGGCCGACGATGGGACCGGCGGTGAAAGTCATCCGCAGCACCCGATCATCGTCGACGCCGGGGGAATAAGACGCAACGTAAGTTTGCAACCTGCACTCGCGCATTACCCGCAAGGGGGGGGGGGGAAATAATAGCTCACGAGAAACTATAAGCGCTCCCCGAGAGAGTGGAAAATGTTTCTTTTTTTTTTTCTTTTTTTTCCACAGCGCGCCTCTCTCGAGTCCTTCGAACTCCGTCCGATGCGAGGGAGCGCGTTTTTTAACGACCCTCCGCTGGACATTTCGGCGGGGGATTGGTAACTTTGCTCGCGACCCTCGGGCGGTCACGGGGTTATACGCGTGTATAAACAAACCGGCGAAATCATTATCCGAAGGGGGGAGGGAGGAACGAAGAAGAAAAAAAAAAAAAAAAAACGTCAGACTGTCGGGATACGTGCGTGCGGAGAAAAAGAGAGGAGATATCGGTAAGTGCGAAAGATTGCACGGAGGAACTCGAGTGTATATAGGTATATTACACGCACGTGTATACGCGGATATAGAGGGAGAGAAAAAGTAAAGTGGCCGCTGAAGGGGCGCACACGGGAGGAATGCCAATCGCGGGAGAGAACAGACGGCTGAAGCGGGTGGAGGAGGGGCAGAAAAGGCTCACCGGCGCTCTTGCTCCGCGAATTTCCCACGGACGCCCCGTCGAACGCCCGTGAGGCGAGAGAGTACTTAGCGCGCCTATGTATATACTCCTTTTTGCAGTGCACGTATACATATATACATACACAACGAAAACAGCAACAACGTATAGGTGCGCAGGTATATATATATATGTATACGCGCTCCGAGAATTAAAAGGAACTAACAACAACCAAGCGGGGTACCGGGTGAAAGTCCGAGAGTGCAAAGTATATAGATGCAGTACGTGTGTATCCGAATCGCAATGTGCTCCCGGGGTCCGTGTTTTACCCTAGATAAAGTTAAGTGTACCGCGCAAGGAAAATCTGCAGGAATATCAGGGGGGGCCGCGCCTCGAGAGAGGGACCACTCCCCTCGCTTTTCCGCGTCCAACGTACGGGTACAGCGTGTACGGTGGTCCGCGCCTATATAACGATGCACGCGCCCGAGCGCAAAAAAAAAAAATATATATACTAGTGTATAAGGGGCGCTGATTAGGTGTACGGTCGGGAGGGACGAAAAAAAAATCGGTAGTGTGTGTGAGAGCGTGCAATGCGTGCAGTGTATCGAGGGAACGCACGAACGGAGAGATGATCGATCAGCGCTCGATCGTTTCGTTCGGGCCGCTTTATCTCTCGTACCTTTTTTTTTTTTTTTTTTTTTTTGTTTTGTTTTTTCCCTCCTCGCAGATCGGAGATACACAGTTTGGAGGAGGGCATGCGTTGCGTGCTATCCTCGTTTTCGACGGACGGATATGGCTGGGAGGCAGCAGAGGGATGGGGAGAGGAAGGTATATCTCGGATCGGTGTACAAGGCGAAACGCGATCCCGCGGGGATTCGGCTCAAGATATATATATATACACAAGCGACTGGGATCGTGACGGATCGGTATCTCTTGCCTTGGCTGGTCATTCCGTCTTCCCACCGCCACCACTCCGTTTATTATTTCGTTATTTCTCAGCCAAAGCCACGGGGCAACGATATCCTCCCGAAGGGATGATGCTACGCTCTTCTCTCCCGTGCGCCGATATTTAATGTAATGTAATGCGTTCCCCTGGCAAGGGGTGTATTTATACATATATATACCTATACCGGTCGCCGTTGTGGGAAGCACGCGATTCCCGTATCTCGCGGGCTCGGGGTATTACGTATCGTATACGAGCGATTTTGAAACTCATTAAGTCGTGCGTACGTGTGCGGGAAGGGGGGGGGGGTTGTGTACGCTGCTGGAAAAGCATATAGCCCCCACCCCTCCTTCAGAAAATTAAGCTCGCAAAATTTCAAGCGCGACTATAATTGCTCTGCATCCCAAACTCCCCCCCCCCGCGATCACGATTTAATACTCCCTCTCTCTTTTTTTCCGGATATGTATGCCCCTGTTATTTATAAAACGTGTCCCCACCATACACTCGTGCATATGATTCACACTCGCGTCCCGGCCTATTTTTCTATGGACCGCGGATATAATAGCGCAATGATTCACACCCCCGCACCCCAACGCGTTATGTATATAATGTATATTTGACAGTCAGCGTAACTCACGTGCCTGGACGATAATACTTTTTTGTCTCTCTCACCCTTTCGCGCCGATTTCCGTATTATATATAGAGCCCGGCTATAATTCCCAGCCACCGCACGGAGGGAGCCAATAAAATTCCCTTACGTCCCCTTCCCCCTCGCACGTGTCTCTTATCTGCGTCAGCCGATCCCAAACCGAATATATATATATATATATCGCGCGATCGCATTTCGCTCTTTGCCGATATCCTCTCTCTCTCTCTCTCTATCCTTTTGCTCACGATCGTCTTTTTACCTGGCACCAGCCTCTCTCTATCTCTTCGATTAACGATGTGCCCACGTGAACCTCGTCCATACACACATATACACACAGACGGTCGCTCGAGTAGGTATATTATATATTATCTCCGATCGCGCGCGCCCGTGGCCATCGAGCTATCGAGAGCCGATCGATCATCTCGCGTGCGATGCTGCAGTCTCTGTCTCCCCCTTTGCCCTTTACATTTTTTTTTTCTTTTTTTTTTTTTTTTCATCAACGATGATGATCATAACAACGCAGAGCAACGATGTAATGATTTTCCACTGTCTTTGCCGATGCTCGGTCCCTGCAACCGGACAATCGATATTCGGGGAAACTTTGACCCCCCCACGACGACGCGCGCATAATATATGGTTCGTATGTATAAGGTCGTTAAGAGCACAAAGCCGGGTGTGGAGGGGGTAGGCTAATCACTTTGTAAAATTGGCGCGCGGTGGCATCATTAATAACCCACTCCTCTCCTTTGCTGCACGCGTGCAAGCAGTATCGCATTGCCAAGAAGTGGGGGGGCGTGGGGGGCAAAAGTAATCGATACGCGAATGTATCTACAAAACTTCTTTTTTTTTTTGTTTTGTTTATCCACACACAAATCTGTGTACGCTCGAAATTGCCCCGGTTGGAGGGTTCGTTAATTATACACCCCACACCTGCGCGCGGATGAAAAATGAAATTGGGGGGGCTGGAGAGCGCAGAGAATAAAAAATGCGCCTACGATTTGTGTTCCAGTCCATCGATCGATTAATCATCTCCGGACCGAGAATCCACGGAGCGACAGTATGAGGCGCCACTGAGGGAGCCACGCACTCGAAGGACTCGGCGTAGAGTTAAGCCAAACGGACGAAAGGTCGACGCAACTCGGTCGAAATGTCGAGTCCCCCCAAGAGACGGTGGCTCGCGGTGCTGGCGTTGCTGGTGGCGGCGAGGGCCCCATCAGCACTGGGTGGCGGCGAGCAGCGCTTCGTCGAGACACCGGCCCAGTACCAGGAGGTCTCGAGCGGCGAGGACGTGAAGCTGCGCTGCCGCGTCCAGGACAAGCGCGGCCAGTGCATCTGGCAGAAGGACCGGAAACCCGTGGGGGTCCACCCGGACAAGTACGAGTGGGCCGGGACGCGGGACGGCGACTGCACTCTGCTGGTCAAGAGGGCGAGTCTCGACTTTGACGACGGGCTGTGGGAGTGCCAGGTCACGCCCGGGGACTTTACGCGCCAGGACGCTCTCACCTCGCCCCCCGCCAGGCTGCTCGTTAGAGGTTAGTACATTTGGGCTACTTTTGCACATGTCTGTACATATACGGTCTTATCTCTCTCGTCGCGTAGGTATACTCTAGTGCCATTTTATGTATGTACCTACTTTCCTGTTGGCTCTCTCGTATACTATCTTGGTTTCTCCATTTACTCGCTCTCGTACATGGGTATATGCACACGTGGTTTTCTTTTTCTTGTTCTTCCCGCCGCAAGGAGGAGACCGTATTATACATATATATATATATACAACACGCGTTAACTCTTACCTGTCCAACTTTTTTCACGAACACAGAGAGAGAAGAGGCACTTACGCTTAGTGGGTTGACAATGTCGTCTCTCCGTGCGCGCGGGATTTCACCTTTTGTTTTTATGCGTGTAGTGTATACATATACTCTTGTTAGTATGGAAACGGACTTTTTGCAGTCCGGGATGCAAGCCTTTCGTCTTTCACTAACAGTCGCGCGTACCAAAACAACGGCATGTTTTCTTATTTTATTTTCCTTTTTTCGAGCGACAGAAATTGCATCATATAAATGTTTAATGCATTTCGCCATTTTTCTCTTTTGTTTCCCCTTCTTTCGCTTCGTTTTTCGTGCTTTATTATATTAAACACTCTCTTTGTGCCTCTGTATGTGCCTCTGTTTGTTTACCCTCCTCCTCCTCCTCCTCGAAAACTCGCGTAAGCAATTAAACACGCCGACGCTGATGCGGATATCTCTTATGAAAATATCGAGTATAAATAAAATGCAAATCGACGCGAATAACGAAATGTAGGTCGTCAATATTGACGGCTTCTCTCTCTCTCTCTCTCGATTTACATCAGGGGGCTTTTGTACGATGTATATATAGAAGCGGGCGATGGAAAATATATGTACGTATAAATACCTTTTGTGTCGCTTTGCGCTAAAGGGATAAACGCGCGTTTGATGAATTTTTTCAACGTGTATTGTACAATTACTATACGTAGTGTATACATACCAATGTGCGTTTTACCAACGTGTATTGTGTATACGTACGTAAAGGCTCTTAGTGCCATTATTTATCGTTTAGCTCTCGGGTGCGAGCGCTACAATGGCACATAAGAGCCTTAAGAGATCAGGGCTTGATTCTTATTTCTTGAAATTTTCACTGTAAGGGATAGTAGGGCATGACGGGCACCCATTATTGTTTACACTCTTACAACTTTTTTCCACCTTAAATATAATTCTCCAGCTGAGCATCTTTCAGAGCGTGACACATAGAATAAAACTACCCAAAATAAAAAATATATAAATCAATAAATAATTAGTTATCATATAATAAAATATAGTTCTTAAAAATGCTCATTCTGCCCCCCTGCGGGCACAGTGAACATAGCTGTAGGGTACGATGAGCGCGGGATGATTGAAATAATTCGATGGTAGGTGAACAACAGTATTTATATTAATTAATTTTTAATGATATTTAACAAACATAAAAAATTTATTTAAGAAACATTAAACATTTATTTGTTAAATCATTGTACATTACATGTAATATCACAAGTTACATTACAATCTGTTAGATAAGTTATTTTAATACCACAAACATCTTGCCTTAATTTTATAAATTTTGTGCTTAGTACAAATAACTGTATGCCAATATCACATCAATGTTGCACTCTAATATTATAAAAATAAAGCTTCATTAAAATGAAATATATACGTAAAAAACCTCTTCAGTCTTGCCAGTTTAAGATTGTAGGAAAAAAGAACTAAAATTTATAGGATTCATAGCAACTGAATTTACCAAAGAATCACTTTGTGTAATATTTTAAATATTCGATTTGAATATTATGAATATTTCTCTCCATCTCCTTTTTGTATCGTCACATACCATTCTTATTTTTAGTCAAGTCACGATCCACAGTTAAACTTACTTACTTATAAAATAAGACAGACTAGAGAAATTCAAAGCTAAGACTAAGGTTAAGTTAATCAGCTTTGTTTTGATTCGAACAGAATGACAGCGTCTGCTGCAGACGCAGAGTTCTCAGGCTCATTGTGCCTCAAACGCGGTGCCCATCATGTCCCCTAGAAGCCATGTTTTAAAATATATATAACTTTTTAATGGTGGAAGATAAAAATTTTTTTTCAACGGATCTTGAAAGTAAATCAAACAGACTGTTGGAGAAACTTTACGAGATAATTACTGGAGATAATTTTTATTGTAAAAAGAAGCCGTGAAGCTATCATTGTCCGCAGGGTTATTTATTAAAATATTTTTATAAATTTTTACAAATTATTTAATTACTTTTTATCATGATACTCTTTGAGGAAAATAGTGTTGATATTTTACAATGTAAAAAAATTTATTTGAGAGAAAAAAATTAATTTTTTCATTGAGTACATGAGGTGCCCGAGTTACCCTACAAACTCACGCTGCCCCACTATCCCTTATAGTAAGTATGAGAGAGGAGGCGTGGTATTACGGGATCTCGATCCTCTACCTTTTGGCTAGTTTCAGTGACATTCCGTACAAGAGTGCGAAAGCTGTAAAGAAACTTTTAAAAAATCGATTTTCGCGCGTTTGGTTTAATTGAACGCTTGATAAATTGTACTTGGTGCCATGCATGGGCTGTTTTCTTTTTTTTTTTTTTTTACATTGATCCAAGTGGCGAGAAAGTTTGTATTTTCTCTCGAATAGGCGCTTCGTCGAAGCGGACGGGATATATATATAGCTTATCGGACAAAGAGAGCGTTTACACACCGGCAAAAGCTGTCGGGGCGAGCAGATAGCCGGAAATCGATAATGCGAAATTAAATCACTCGAAAATTCATTACCGCTCGCTGTGTAAAAACTCGCGCGATCCTGTACACGAATCGGGTGGATGTACGTATGATTTTTGGCAGAGCGAACAATAAATCGTCTACTTTAGATGTTAAACTAGTTTTGAAAGGGTGTTGGTGTATGCATGTGGGGGTAATCGAGTTTTTTTGGACTGATTCAAGTATCTGATTGAGGTTGAATTGGGAAAATGATTTTGTGATTATGATCGAAACTGATCTCGTTATCTTTGGGTGGAGATCATACTCCGAAAATTTTTACTTACTAAAATGTTGCTAATGAGAAAAAGAAAACGATAGTTTTTTTTTAGCTTAATTTTTCATCACATGATGCTTTGTATGCTTGAGTTGGAAAAGTGAATTGTACAGACATCGATGAAATCCAACTTTTTTTGTTTTACATTTTGTTGTGTCGTACAAAATGTTAATACAAAAACAACAAAAATCCTTTTTTTTAATTTTTTTTATTACGTCAAAAGCACGTAACGATTCCACAACAAAACGCAAAAAAATTTAGTGTTGTAAAGTACAATAGAATTCAAATTTTTTTTGCCCTACATAAAATTTTCTCTAAAAATCGTTTTGTAGCACCCAAAACTTTCTTTTAAGCTTTTAACATTACAATGTATATTTTACAGAATATTCTATACACGTACATACATGACATGAAATTATCACTTTATAAAAAACTGTGTACGAATTATCCATCGGAAAATTCGATCGAGACTCTATGGTATCACATACTTATTAGCGGAAGGGGGAACAAAAACGCACGCACAGTCGACTTACGACATTGTACGAGCAGAAGCTCGAGAACAAGCCCTCGAGGGCCGTTCTTGATATTTCCCGCAAAACCCACGCGATTGTATTCAAATCCGAGCGGCAGAGAGTGCTTAAATAACTGCTAGGCAGGAAAGGTCCTTCTGTTCGCTAAGAGCAATAATCAGCGGAGCAGCGAGGACATAAAAGGGCGGCGCGCGGGGAATTCACGGGCTCGGATCGCTTTCGCCGGAACGGCCCTTCCCCAGACATGTATATACCTCGTGCAAAAAATCAAGGCGTGCATTCAAAAAATGCTCGCCACGACGTCGGACGACGACAATGTCAACCCCCGAGACTTTTCGGGCCTTTATACTCCGCGAGCTGCGCTGTATGTTTTTTCTCCTCTCCACCATGGGCATGTCGCGCGCGCTCCCCTTTGTTTCCCCCCCCCCCCCACCCCTCACTTCGCTTTATATAGCCGTGGGCTTCGTTGTCGTCTTCGTCGTCGCTGATGGTCTTCCTCCTTTTTTTTTTTTTTTTTTCGTCGTCGTCGTGCCCTTTCTTTCTTCCCCTTCACGTCTTTCTTTATTATACGTGGTCCGCGTGTACAACCATATATATATATTTTTTTTTCCCTCGTCCTGCCCCCCCCCACCCCCCGTCTTACATATTTTTTGTCTCTTCGAGACGAAGAAGAACAGGTAGAACAACGACACGGTGGCGATCTTCTCGGAGAGATAGGCCGCTCAATTATATTCCTGGTGTGCGCACGGGTGGTGTCGGGGGGGACCGAGAGAAAATTTTGACAATTTACTTGCACGCGCGCGCGCGCCCGCTTTTTGTACACCCAACAAGGATACAATAATAATAATAATAATAATAATAATAATAATGATAATGATAACGAGGTAAAAGGTGGTGAAGCGCGCGATGCACGCCAACGCGGAAGTTGCTCGGTCTGTTGTTGTATGTGTATGTGTATGTATAGCTGCGGTTCATTCTCGATTTCAGCAATTATCTATAAACTCGGGAAATAGTTGGAGGATGCACCTATATAATATAGTGTCGTGGCTGGGAAAGGATGGTATACATTATTTCGGATGTATCATTCACATGGTGTACAATGAACATTGATTCGTTTGTTTGTTGAAGAAAAAATAAAAAAAATTTAAAAAAAAAAAAGGAAGCCAACAAAATAAACTCGAGTGACGCAAACGACGATCGGTAAGACGAAGAAGAAGAAGCGCGCGGCTGCATCACGCAAAACGAGCGCGGTTGCGTGCACGTAATTGAACGAGTCGGTTCTCTCGCTCTCGTATTGTTCTCTTTCTCTATGTGTGTGTGTCGTTTCGAGGTTCCCC